AAATCGCCGATATTTCCCTTTTTGCACCTTAACCGTACCGCGTGCATAATCAATTTAATCAAAATTGCTCAATTTAAAACTTATATATTCAGCTTTAATTTGAATATGTTTTGAATCAAACAATTTCCAAATTGAAATGAAGCACGTTATATAGGCAGGTATATTTAACTTTATGTTGAATGTTTTGACTGATATTACGTAGAAAAAAATATATCAACAATTATATTACTTTTTTTTTTTTTTAGCTTTTTTTTCACCTCTTTACAAATTTATATTGGTAATTCGGTGTAGAAATTAACCTAACAGTAAAATTTTAATTTAAAATTAGAAATGACTGTCACTTACTAATTCGGCACATCCAGATGCATTTGTTTTACTTAAGAGAAGACCTTCTTTTTGGATTGGGGGGGGGGATTGAATTAAGTGCATGCACTGCACTGAGTTAAAAAATAGAACTTTTTGAATCCGTGTTGCAGAAAAGACACTTATCCATTTGTTCTAACCTATTTAAAAATATTTTATGCCTCATATTCTTCCTGCAGCGAAAAAAAGAAATTTTCCACATTTTTACACACAGGAAAGTGTTTTTTATATTATAGGAAATTAGTAACAAGAAGTGGATTGTTTCAGGAAATATCTGCTAAAATCCGGACAAAAAATGATTCATTGTAGTTCTCGGAGTTCTCCAATTTTCCACAATAGATTACTCTTGTACTATGAATCATGTTTGCTAAATGTAATATGTCAGGAGTCAGGAATCATGGTCACCTTGAGAAAATTGAAATTTCCCTAGCAACCAGTTAATTTTGGTGTGGATGAGAAAAAAATCACATACCTTTAAAGCTTAATATTAAATGTAAAGACAGTTGAGACATGTGTTTTAACAATGCATTAAATAAATATTAGATCAAAAGATATTTCTGTGATCGACGTTGTTAGAAAAAACAAACAAACGTTTTTTGTCTTTTGCTGATTCGGTATTTTTCTTGATTTTCACTTTTCGTGATCTCATTTTTAAGTGATCAGAATAATAAAATTGTTCAGTGAATTTAGAATAAAATTAGATGAATAACTCTTGTGGTAGTTTAATCTTTAAAACAGTTGATTTTTTTAAATCGTATCTGTTGACTAGCAGTAAAAACATTGAAACATAATATGATAAAAGGAAAAAAGTGTAGATTTTGAAAGAAAAAGTAATGAAGTTGTTTTCGTTAAGTATCAAAAATCAAAAGTGGACCATAAAAATATTATAACACAGTCTCTTTTGCAACTAAGTATTTATTGTACAATTACGTATATCTTCATAGCAACAACAGATTCCACATAGTTTCAAAGCTGAAAGACAGACATTTTTTATTTCCTCTATGATTAATATAGAAATCTGTTCCATCAAAAGCATAAAAAAACATAGTGAAAACATTTAACGTCAGCTGTGCATAGATTCGAAAAACAAAAAGCAATTATATATGTACAGGTGCAATTAAGTACTAATATGGTGATCACGTGTTGTCAAACAAATGTGTACTTATTTTATCAAAGCATTACTTATGCTGAAAAAAAAAACCATGGCAACGATTCTGAGTGCATAGCAACCAATAGATTTTAAAAGGAATCACTGTGTAACTGCTGCAGAAAGACCGTTTTAACCGAGGGAGCAGGCTTTTAGTCATAGAAATATATTAATTCAATTTAGTATTTTTATAACTTTCCTAATGTTAATTATCAAAATTAGTCTTTGTTACCATGACAAAAAAGTCCTCATAAAAAAAGGCACCAAAAATATCACAAATGAAAATGTACGAAAATCCATGTCGAAACGAATGATTCAATGGAATGTAAAACAATAACTCCTATACCGACAAATGATACATGTAGCAATTTCATACTTCATATTTCATACTACGTAGAATTTGTAAAAAAGAACAATTTATTAATTTTGATAAGGATATTTACTATTTTCGACAATAAATGCTATTGGAAAAACGTTATGTATGTTTGTAATGGCAATAATGTAAAAAAGAAATGAGCATAAACAAATTAGAGAAGGCTATTTCATATCTTTATAACTATTCTTAAAACATAGATCGAACTATGAACTTGCTGTTTTTGAAAAGATTTGTTAATTAGTCGCGTGTTTTATGACATGGTTAGAAATGGAATACATTTATTTCGATTTTAACTTGGCATAAGGATGTTTACATGTAACGTTTTGAGACATACATAAAACCACTCGATATCTTCAATCACAGCAAAAGTTACTAAAGAAAACAGTCAATAAAAAAGTTTTCATTACTGCATTTAAAATCGATCAATCGATATTAATCTTGAGTTAAAGCTATAAGGAACGTGTGCAGATCTATAGGGGGGATCGGGGGCGTCCGGATTCCCCCATAATATGCAGAGCTATAAAAAGTACATACTGAAGCAAATAAGAAATGACTTTGGACCCCCCCCCCCCCACCTAGAAAACGTGGACCCAACCATCACCACCCCGAAAGGTGTTTTTCACGTTTGGGAAATGGAATTTAGGTTGTTTGTTTGTTTGTTTGTTTGTTTGTTTTTTTTTTTTTTTTTTTTTTTTTTTTTTTTTTTTTTTTGCTTGTCAGGTAATTTTCAGAGTTTAATACTTTTGGGAAGGGAATTTATTTTTTTTTTTTCATGTCAAGAAATTTTTGGGTGAAAATTTTTTTTGACTGGGTTGCCCCCCCCCCCCCCCCCCCCATCCCCCGGAAAAAAATCCTGGATCCGCGCCTGAGGTACTAATAAAATGATACGTGACTATCTTTATGCTTTCAACCAGTTGAAAATCATTTTGGTGCATTTTCTTTTAATGGTGATGTTATCGGGAGGTCCCTGTAAATTCTTTAACATTAAACTCTGTAGTGATTGTTACTTTGGTAAGCGTTCGATATTTAAATTGAAGGCCAGGGGTCTTTCAGTAGAGACCGTAGAAGATCTAACGTCACAGTGTTTAGCAGTGTTTAGAAATCTCACTGAAGCGTCAATAAAAAAGAATGGGAGACGCCTCAAATTAGTAAAACATATCCTTTTCAATTTTTAAGAGAAAACAATTCTTAAAATTTATACTTATTTTACACTGAATTGTCTATGTTTTTTTTTTCCGTTTCCCGATCATGACAAGGAGCAAACAGCGGATGTGACGGTCGACAGGGGACGCTTACTCCTCCATGGCATCTGACCCCAACTCGGATGCTTTTAGAGGTCCGCGTTTGCTCTGTCCCCAATCTGTATTGTTTCAGTGGACTTTTGAGCTTGAATACTGTTCTTCATATTTCATGTAAATGCTTGATATGTTCTATTTTGACCCCGCCCTATTTTTAGGGGTCATATCTTGAACAAATTTCTATATATTTCTATATATACCGGTATATATATATATATATATATATATATATATATATATATATATATATATATATATATATATATATATATATATATATATATATATATATATATATTCAAATGGAAAAGTATATATGCCTGAGCAAAAAAGATCATGTTTACTCCTCCATGGCACCTGATCCCACCTTTGATGTTTTTAGAGGTTTCGTATTTGCTCTGCATATTGGTTCAATGGACTTTTGAGCTTGAGTACTGTGTGTTAACTCCATATTTCATTGTGCAATTGTACAAATCAATATACATCCAGGAAGCTACTTTAGCGGCTCTATCACGATTGCACTCATTACATGTATTTCAACAATGAAAAGGTACCCTTTATACTAATGAAACAGACGTTTTTGGGCATTAAGAAATAAATGACTTTAAAATCTATTCAAAATTAGATAGTATTCTAATAATTATTTTATTATTCGCACACTGGCCTGGTACATATAACTATGTTTTCATTGACATGGTAGATCAGCTGGTTGATCACATGTTTATCATTTACGGGTTCGGAGTTCGATTATTTGTCAAGATCGTAACAATTTCCTTATTTGTATTAAAAGTAGTAAAAGCTATGCCCTGGAAATCACAGATGAAAAACGAGCCGTAATAAACCTTAATCGGTGTCATCAAAGGTGCATGAAGTCATTTCAGTAAAGTTATGTGATGTTATGACAGTTTTTTTTTTCGTTAGTGGACAAATAATTCTTTGGAAGAGCAACTTTCCAGAGCTCAGTTGACCTTTTCATAAAAATCTTACTATCTAGCATACTTTTTTTCTTAAAATAAAAATTAAGTCACTTTCAGGAAATACCCTTATAAGAAATACAGCAGTTACCATTATTTTAGTACTTTAAATTTCCCGAGGTATTTTGTGAAAGGGAATTTTATCAAGGTTTCAGTTAGTTTAAAAAGTATTTGTATGATATTTTTTTGTCAAAAAAGTCAACGCGAACTAAGGCATATGAATTCTACTCTGGTCTGTTGCTCTCCCTTCCTAGTATTTTTATTTATTGCTGAGGTTGTGCCTTGGCATGACAACTATTAAAGAAGAATCTGTGTTAAGTTTTCAAAATCAGCACTCTTCCCCTTCTAATCATTGATTGGTGAATTGGAAAAGAGGGTTCATATTAAAAACGGGTGATCTTCGTGGTACTCCTATTGACACTGATTACAATTTATAACAGGCATCAGTAAAATGTAGAAATGCTTACTCCATGGCGTCAATCTAACTTACGCATGTTGGCGTATTTGGAGTCTTTTTAGCATTTTTATCATATTTTATGCTGGGGGTACTAGGTTGTGTCATGCCTTTTCAAAATTATAGTTTGTAAAGATGATATTCTGATAATTTTCAGCAACCTCTGCCACCATTTCACTTTCTTATTTATGACTTATCTTTTATCATTTATTGTTTAACTTAGCGACTTCGTGCATCTTTTTTCCATTAATTTTTATTTTTATGCTTGTAAAAATATAACTAAATTTTGTTTATTCTGCATCAAACAACAACAGCTGCATATAAGCCCAGTGTATTAAATCAGTAGTAAACATTCTGATGTAAATATTTATAAATTCACAACTTTCTGTCTTACATTAAGCGAACCCATTATCAGACTTAAAAATCATATATTCTTTTTCTAATGCATAGTATTTGTCACTTCCTCCACTTCCGGTTGGTGAAACTTTTGATTCACCATTTGATTTCGAAGATGGACTTCCTGCATGGATGATGAATGACTTTAAGGAGGGACTTCCATTTTGTACTTCAATTATCTTACTACCATTTATATAATCCTCAGATAGAGAATCACTAGAGAAAAGAACACTCTTCGCTCTGTCTTCCAATCCACTCAAATGATGATAAATGTTTTCCCTTGACCTTGAACTCGACGAACTATCTTCTTTGTAAGAAGGAACTTGAATAGCTTTGGCTACCATCTAGAAAACGCATAAATTAGACGTGAGGGTTAAATTAAAAGTTTAGTGGAAGTAATTGATTCAGAATATCAAAAGCATCAACATATATTGAGGTTGCCATTTAGTTGATTTACATGTCTTATTCAGCATTTACCATACCCTGAACTGGTCTTCGATATCTGCATATTGTGTTTCCTCTAGAGGGTTTATAATGATTCTTCCCTCAGACAATCCGTGTTCCTCTGAATGCCGTGATTGATAAAACACTGAACTTTGCATTTGTGTATCAAATCTATGAAAATATAAATAAATAAGTAAATAAAATAAATAAATAAGTAAATATGAAGCAAATTTTTTACTACTAGACATATTTTTTCAAAATATATTCAACACATTAAAAGAAATTTTGGAACAGAAAAAATAAATTATACAATTTCTCCAGTATTATATCATATATCAGTACACTAGTATGTACATTTATTATGTCACAACCATTAGCAGGCCGAGAAAAAAAAGTATTTTGCGCTAGTTATAAATAAATAAATAAATAAATAAATATATATATATATATATATATATATATAGATATAGATATAGATATAGATATATATATATATATATATACGTAATATAAATAATTGAACAGGTGCTCAGAAAATAAGTAAACTCTAAACATTTAAACATATCATTACGAACGTTTCTCTAATCTCGCATTGCAAAGAAAGGAGACACAAATAATGTGGAAATATGATAAAGAAAACTACACACCTGTTTTTCAGATTCCTGAAGCGATATATTACATACAAAATGCCAATTCCGACGATACTTCCAACAATGAAGCAGCTTAGAGTCGTTGAAATTACAATAACAGGTTCTATTGAAATAAATTTTCTTTTTAATTTGACTAGTATAAATCATAATACAAACATTACAGTTATCTAACTTTAAGTCGTATTAAGTTTATAAATAAAATGTCCTAAAGGGATTGGGCATCATGCTTATATTATTTGAACCGTCTCTCAAACCGGAGTTATGTTTTTGTTTTAAAAATACTTACGAACACAGGTATTCCTGTCTTTTTTATGTGCATTCTTTTGATCTATTACATTTATGTAGCAACTAAAGGATATACTTTTGCTAAGACAGTTTGATATTTCGCATAAACGGTCTTTCAGCTTTGATGATTGTGTTCCATTGTTATTGAACGATATCACAAAGTCTACGCAATATAAATCTTCAGTCGATATTTCAAGTGTATTGTATGTTCCTTTGCAATAAAACAGGCAATTTTCAACCCCTATGAAAGAAAAAAAATATAATACAAGGAAAAACGGATAATCTGAATAATTTCGAGATATTAACAGATTTTGAATAAACCAGCAGACCTTGCTCTGATGATAGTAAACTGTCAGGGCACAATTTATTTTTCATTTTACCATGGATTTCCAGAGATTGCTCTAAACACATTGTACTGAAATATCGAAAAAAGGTTTTTGATTCATACATGCAAAATCATTACTAAACTTAAGAAAATTCAAAATCAAACAAGATGCTCTTTTCAACAAACCTCTCAAATTGTCCAGAGTATACTTGTATAACAGAATTCATTGCAATGCAGAAAATAGCACCTGGAAATTTAAAAAAAAAAACAACAAATGACTAGTAAATATTTTACTTACATATGATACACAATGTTTTTGTTTTTTGTTTTTTTTTTTTTTTTTTTTTTTTTTGTATTTTGTTGTTGTTGTTGTTTTTTTTTTTTTTGTTTTTTTTTTGTTTTTTTTTGTTTTTTTTGTTTTTGTTTTGTTTTGTTTTTTTTTACACATAAGTCAACAATATCAATTTTTTTCTCAAAGATGTACCAAGAAGATTATACTTACTATATGTTTTTTGATTTTTGTTCCATCGCAATTATTGAACTAAGTGATTTATCAAATAAAATATATTGCAGTAAAATTACTTACCCACATTTTGTATATTAGTTGTCATATTAATACTGTTTAACTGGATTACTATTGGACGGAAATGTGATCGGATTTTCTGAGTGTGTTGAATTTCATACTAATTAGATGATATTTCGATAGTATTTATATGTCACACATACGCTTCCTGCTTTATAAGTAGATGTATTATTCATACTATTCTGAAGGACGTTCTTTGTGCAAAAATAAGAATCATTTTCATGAAAAGATTTTGATACTGATGTATCTCTTTCTTTGAAACTAGTTCCACGTCCTGCTTGGTACCAATGTATTCAACAAAATTATATGCTTCTTTAGATTCAATTGCAAATTAATCTCATTTCTCACCATTCAGTATTTGGAAATCCTGAACGAAATTCAGAGACTGCTAGATAATCTGATTAATAAAAAAAAGTCATGAATATCTTGAAATCAAACGCGAGGTACTTCAAGCTATAGGCAAGGAATTAAAAAAAATCAATCCAAGCAAAACCTAAAATTAAACAATATATTCACGTTACGGGATCTCTCTCTCTCTCTCTCGATTTATTAACAATATTTATTTCCATTCCTACGTTGATTAGATATATCCTTTTTGAACGCAAAATAAAAATACCATAAAAGATACCACAGAGTCTGACAGAGCTGTTTCATATTTGGATATCATACTAGTAAAAGACGTTAATCGTAACCTAAGAACAAAATTCTTTGATAAACCTGTGGACTTCACTTTTCTATATTTCTATATATACCGATTATGACATGGAGCACACGGTGGACAGAGGATGATTACTCCTCTATTATATTTGATCACAATTCTTGCTTTTAGTAATCCGTCCATGCTCTGCTACAATTTTTATTTTTAACTCGTAAATTTACTTACCTTGGCATTGGTCATTTGCAAAATTTTATTTTGTTAAAAACATTGTGATTGTACACACAAGTACTCTGGAGCTGATATCAAAGAGATGCTTGAGTTTCTGATTGACAATATCGATGTGGTTTTTGGAGACCAGGTCTTCCAACAATCTGTTGGAATTCCCATTGGTACCAATTGCGCCCCCTTATAAGCATACTTATTTTTGTATTCATATGAAGCAGAATTTATTCAAAATCTTATACGTGAAAAGAAGAATTAACAGTGGTTATTTTTATTTTATGTCGATACGACATATCTCAATGAGCTTGAAATAAAAGATACCACAGAGTCTGATACATCTGTCTCATATTTGGATATTTTACTTGAAAAAGACGTTTAAGGTAATCTTAATACTAAGCTTTATGATAAACGTGATGCCCTTTACTTTTTAATCGTCAACTTCCCTTATTTATGCAGCAATATACATTCATCACCTGCATACGGGGTTTATATCTCTCAGTTGATTCAATACGCAAGAGCATGCTCTACGTATGAACAATTTCTCAAACGAGGTATGTTATTGACAAACAAGTTGATGAAACAAGAATATCAGCTGTCTCGTTTAAAGTCGTCATTTTGTAAGTTCTATGATCGATACAATGACCTTGGCAGCAAATACAATCTATTATTAAGTTATATGCTGGCTGACGTCTTTCATACTAATTGTTAGACCATTATTTACACACTGAATTGTCGACGCATTTTTCTGTTATTTCCTGATCATGACAAAGCGCACACGGCGGGTTTGACTGGTCGGCAAGGGATGCTCACTCCTCCATGGCATCTGATCACATCTCTGTTTTTGAAGGTCAGTGCTTGCTCTGCTCCCGATTTCGTATTGTTTTAATGGACTTTATGAGATTGAATACTGGTTGTTATCTCCATTTTCGTACATTAAACAGTCATCATAAAATTATAATAGTGTTATTTGGGTGTATTATGTCGACATAGCAATCAGTATTTGACACATGGTGCTCCGGCTCGTGCACCATAAGTACCCTGGCTACAATTTCGGCGTAGTACATCCAAATCATAACACTATTATATAAATAGTGTTACGGTATGAATGTGTTATGCCGAAATAGTAGTGGGTCTTCCTCAATGATATCAGTCTTTTGGAAATATTTTTTTTCGCGTTTCTTGTCAAATGTTTAAAGCTGCTTTGATATACATGATACTCTTGTAGATCCACACAGAATATCTTTAATTTATCCTTATTAATCACTTGTGCCAGTCTAATTTATACACGATGTAGCAATTCTAACTCTTTCTGCGGACGTGTATCTGGGAGCATTTCACATTCTAATTTTTTATTGCTTGATTACGCTGTATATCAGACAATAGAAAGAAATCATGATGTCAATGCAAATATTCACCATTATACAGAAGTTGATAAACAATCCAGACACCTGAATTCAATATCAACGTAAAATACTTTGTACATGCCATAAGACAGGAATGTAAAAATTATGACACTCTCCCCGTCATGTCAGCTCAAGTTTGTGGTAACATGTGCTATTATGATATCATATCTAGATAGTTCAGAGAAGATACTATTGCTGGTGCACTGTGATATTTTACGGACACCTTATCCTAGCCGCGCTTCGCATAATCGCCCGTGCGTTGGACTGACATTCTCAGAATCGTGAGTGCGACCCTGGGCGTGGGTGCTTACGTATTTTTTCTAGAAATGATAGCCGTGTACTATTTGGGCATAGAATGCTTACGTTATATAACTCCTTTGTATACTATGCATTAAACAAATTGAGTATTGATTACATAGAGACAAACTGACAGGAAGCATAATAATTAAGTATAATTTACTCTAGCATTTTTACTAGGGTAAATTCTTCTTTATTCAGAGGCATTTGGGATTTTTGTTGCAATCTTATTTCGATCAAAACTACCTTTTAACGATCTGTGGTCAAAGGACTTCTCACATCATTTCAGTCATTCAACCATAGAGGTATGTTCACATCTCAGTCCCCTAAATGTTACGTGTATCGCCAGACCCCCTGACTCCGTCACTTTCGGAAAACTTCGTGCTTTTTGTAAACAAATGCGATTGTGACGTCATTTTTTGCATGCTTAAAATCCACAATCAAATTCCGAGGTATTATAACAGTCAAGTTCAAGAATGTGTCAAAAACAAATATCGATTACTTAACATATTGTATTCATCATATTTTATGTGAAATCAGTAAGCACCTTTTCCGTTATGCGCTATTCCATCGATATCTCTGGCATGTGTGTCAACATGCTCATTTTCATATGTCAGCCATTTTTATGAATGTTTGTGTAAAATATTAATCGTGACATATCATGTTGAATACGGATTTTTTTTTCTATATTTGCCCTAATGCCCTACTCATAGGAGATAACATTAATGCGATATTATTACATATAAAATACGTTATACTAACGTAATTTTTTTCTATAGTTGACAGTTTTCTTAAAGCGCAACTTAATATAATTTTAAATCTTAAAAACTACATTTTACGTTTACAAATTTAAGAAAAATCACAAAAATTAAACTGGAAAAAATGTATTTAATACGTGGGCATATTGAAGATGGCCCTTTTGACGGAGTTAGGGTTATACACATTCTATTTAGTGGTATTATATAAACTCAGTAACGGTACTTATTCGTCACTAGTACTACAAACAATGTTTAAATTCATTACTAAGTGTAGCAAACAAGAAACAAATCAAAAAATTATTCGCGGAGAGTAACGCTGGCTGTTTTCCGCTTATGGTGACGGAGTTTGGGTACTCAGGGATAATTTATATTCAGAGCGAAGGGCTGTTAGGCATACTATGAAGAAATCAACAGAATATAGCAGTTCGAAAACAAATACCTTTCATATTTTGTGTCTGTGTTACATGTGCATTTTGTAGGTATAATGAATTATATAATTTAACATTACAATTTTTCCAAATCTTCAAATTTAAAAAAAAAAAATTAAAGAAATACATTTATAATTAACCTTTCTTAAAATGTCATTGAAAGTTTGCCTATGCAAGTATTTTACTTTGAAAAGAAAGTGCATTTTATGAAAGCGTCTGGAAAGATAATTTAGTTTCCAATCCTTTTGATGTACTCAATAAAATATGTTCAAAACATAACTTAGTTAAGCTTAGAGGGTGAAATAACCTTGTTAGAAGCCTCAAATACTCTTTATAATATGAAGGCTAACAAATCTCCAGGATCTGATGGTTTCTCCACAGAGTTTTTTTTTTAAAATGTTTTGGAAATATATTGGGTCTTTTGTTGTAAGATCTATTAACTATGGTTACAGGAATGATATCATGTCTATTACACAAAGACATGGAATTATAACATTATTACCTAAAGGTGACAAGCCAAGACATTTTCTTAAAAACTGACGTCCTATTACACTGCTAAATACTGTATATAAAATAGCACCTGGCTCTATTGCAAACAGATTTAAAAATATTTAGATAAAATAATCAGCCCCGACCAATCCGGTTTTATCTCCAACAGATATATTGGAGAAAACATAAGATTGATATATGATATAATGCACTTTACAGAAGAAAAAGATATTCCAGGACTTTTATTACTGATCGATTTTGAAAAAGCTTTTGACTCTCTTTCCTGGAACTTCATACAAAAAGCATTACATTTTTTTCATTTTCGGCCCTTCCATCAGAAAATGAGTCACTCTTTTTTACACGGATATTAAAGCTACTGTTAATCAAGGTGGTAATTTTTCTGATGTAATTGATATTCAGAGGGGATGCAGACAAGGAGACCCCTTGTCTCCATATATTTTTTTGATCTGTGCAGAGATTCTAGCCATACGAATTAGGAAAAATAAAAAAATAAAAGGTATTACCATTAGAAATGTAAAAAAAAAAGATCTCTCAACTGGCAGATAATACTTCCCTTATTTTTAATCGAAGTGAGGAGTCTCTTTTAGAAACACTGAAAACTTTGAACACATTTTCAGATATGTCTGGATTATGCATTAACTTCTCAAAAACACACACTGTGTGTATTGGATCCAAAAAATACAGTGATGAGGTTTTAATCCCAAATTACCAACTTAATTGGGGAACTACTAGATTTACTTTATTAGGGATAA